GTCCTCTTTTTTTTTGTTACCGTTCTAACCCCCTTGTTTCCTCAAAAGAACTTGAATGGATGAGCACGTTTCCGAGTTGCGAGATGAATATCCGCGGAAATGCTGCCCCTTCTCCTTCGGAGTGCCATAAATACCCAAGGTGGCAATTTTCAATGTTACTGATTTTCATTAGCTCTCATTTTTATAATTGACAACCGATTTTAATGAGTAATAGCTCAAATTAAGACTGAAGCTCTGCAGTTTCATTAATATCAAAGGAATTTCACCAAGTATACTGAAATTATTGTACTGAATTATAATGAATTTCCTCTCGTGTGCTCGTCGGGTAGCGACGTTTCATCTCGTCTCCGCGAATTTAGCCACCATCCACGCCCTTTGCTCTAGCGAATTTAGACCCCTCATTTTAACAAATCTAGAGCGAAACTAAACAAAACTGCATGAGACAAGCTTTCTAGAAATGTGTCGCTCAACGCTCTGCGTTGGGAACTTTTGTACATGGCGAGCCATTAAAATCTGTAACATTAAGAATTGTCACCCTGTTTAAAGGTGCATGCAAATTCTGTCTCGCGAAAATTTTGAAATACATCCAGCGGGCGGACGTAGGTTGCTCCATTACTACCTGGGTTAATACCGTTGGACCTCTCCATGGTCATCCAACGGTCATCCAACGGTCATCCAATGGCTTTCACGAACGGAATGTCCAAGGAGGAAGCCCAGCGGACGTCCGAGTGGTATCTTTTGATATCATTCAATATCAATACAGACTTGAAGTTTTTCCCGTTAAAAAAGTTGAGTGCAAATTCTGAAGCACTCAATTATTAACGTGCAATCCGTCCCTCGTGAAATTAACGTGCAATTAATTAACGTCGCGAATTATAACGTCACAAGGTATTAGTCTCAGTTTGACGCGTAGACGCAAAGGATCCATGAACATCTTTTCAAGAAGAATCTCAATCATAATTCTAACAAAATCATAATTTAAAATCATAAACGAGATTTGCGAGTCTTGCATAGAACATGCAATGAAATCGAAATGCGAAAAAAGAAATTGCGATTATCGCATTCTGAGAGTCTCGACGCTCGAAATTCCCCGGCTGGACTCGATCGCGAAGGAGCAATTCAGTCGAAACTGCAAAAAAAATGCAGAATGGAGCCGATTCGAAATAAGGGCCATCGAGTTAGTCACGCATACAGCGGACGCGAAATTCAATTGTCTTCAAGACGCAGGGAAAAAGATAGCGCTTAACTTCATTTTTTACCGATAGCCTTTGAAATCAGCTGTTCCCAGAGCCTCAGCAACATTAAATTCAAGTAACGGTTCCTATTTCCCGGATCGGTTCACCGCTCGGCTCCTAGATGGCGGTGGAAGCGAGTCACCCCATGTGCCATGATTTATCGTCTATTTGCATTGTTATCACGACGTTGATAAGGTGGGTTTTGAGAAGCTTAAATTATGATGCGAGGGAGCGGAGACAACGAGTTCGCGGTGAATGCTTTCATCCATCACGGATTCCTTTGTCTTCACTGAAGAATTTCTTTGTCTTCACTGCGGGACTCCTTTTGCCTTCGCTAAGGAATTCCTGGAATCTATTTCACTTTTTCCCCCTTCATTTTTGAAAGGTAACTGCTTCCCCGTCGGGTCCCATGAACGCAAATGTCAATAGAGTGCAATGCCCAACAGCGTTTACAAGTCTCTACGCGGGATATAAATTTTTCGAACGATTTCCTTTGCAACACGGAAAACTCTCGATTCGGGGAAGCAACTCGAGTGTAGCCCGCAAAAAAAAAATCGAAGCGAGTTTCTTCCCGCCTGGTCTGTGCAGGGGCGACAGCCCCACCGTCGGTGACAGCAAAACGATGGAAAGCGTCGAGGCCTCACAAAACGGACTGCGAGGAATTTGAAAAAACCTTTAGAAGTCCCTTCGCAGGCGACCGCGACACTTTTGAAGGACTCCGGTCCACTCGGATCGACTGTCAGCTTTCCCTGACGTTTCCGGGGGAACTGTTCCTCTCCTTCCTTTTCCTCCAGGTCTTTCAAACGAAATGAAAAAGGAAAATCCAAGCGATAGGAACTGCAGAGGTTTCCTCAGACCTTTCATCGATTTTCCCTCCCGGGATAAAGGGTCGAGACAACGGATGGTGCCCACACCGAACTTATTAAATGATGAAGCAAAGGGGAAAATAATTTTTCAAATGCTTTCCCTTTCTTCAAGACTCTTCCCTTCTCTCCCTCCCCCCCCCCCTTTCTTCTCTCCCTCCCCCCCTTTCTTCTCTCCCTCTCCTTCTCTAAGGCAGCGGTTCCCAAACTGTGGGTCGCGTACGTTTTCCCAGTATGAAAAATCACCATACCCGCATCCGCTCAGGATAAAACATGCCCTGCAGAGCAGGTCGATCAGTTTTCTTCACGTCATAATTGAAAATTCCTCTTTCTGGATTCCGGTGGGTCGCGAAATTTTCTGTACGTCAGCAAGAGGGTCGCGTTTCAAATAAGTCTGGGAACCGCTGCTCAAAGGGACTCGCTAACGTCACACCAAGGCCAGACCTTGGTCTAAGCCATGGACTTTCTTCAGGTCAGGCCAGTTCCAGGCCAGGTCAGGTCAGGTCAGTTCAGTTCAGTTCAGGTCAGGCCTATTTTTTTCCGCTCAAAAGAATCTCAAGCCTCGACTTATCGGGTCAATTAAGCCTATAAGGGTCATTCTCAAGGCCTTTGAGATGTCTCGCTGAGGATGAGTAACGTTAGGCCGATTACGGACCGAATATAACTTTCGCGAAACGTTACAGAGGGGACGTGTAACGTTAGACCGATTATGAGCCTGTTTCGAGTTCCACGAACCATTTCGGCGAGGCCGTTTTGCCTATCTAGAGGCATTCGAATCATCTCGACGGGGTCTGAGGGGAGAATGCCTCCGAGAATGAAATGCATTTTGGGCGCCATCATCAGTAAGGATGCCAGAGCGCGGTATCGGCATGTCTTACCTTATTGAGTCGACCTTATCGGCCACCGATAACCGCGGCTTCAGTCTCACCTCGTACCATGAACTCATCAAAAATAAATGTCATTCGTGAAAAATATATAAGAACCAGACAACGATGCGAAAGCGGAAGCGGTCACGAATCCCGCACAACTCCTGCACGATATCCGGCAACAGTGGGGGATGGGACTAGAGCAAGCACCCTAAACCTAAATGAACGACAGCTGGTTCCATTTTAATGGAAAAATGATGCATCGCAAACAGCAAAAAGGATCCTTTTCGCTACCTACGAGTCGATATCTTTCATCTGTGGGGGTTACCTCCGAAAACCTCTCAAGAGTGGAGAAAAAAAAATAACAACAAAAAACAAATGAAATTGTCATGATCCAATATCGCCGTTCGGTGTTCTCAGCAAGCCCGGAGAATTGGAGCTTAAAATTTGCAGGAGCGATTCTGTGTTGAGCGGGTGGGAAGCAAAGTAGGATGGCCAATCCTATTGGATTTTGAGGAATCGCGTCCCACGATGAAACCGTTGCCGATCGGCAGAGAATCTCAAGTAGTGCATAAATGTGAATGGTCTCACCGTGATCCGAGATTACCCTGATCCGATATATACCAAACCATTGTCATAATAAATAAAATATTGGCTGGGTCTTACTATGCAGAGTATCGTATGGGAGATACGAGGTGGAAGCATGTAGGCAAACAGACCCTCTACGACTCAGATGCCATAACATTCCTGCTGATATGATGAATAACACTTCTCCTCGGGCGGAGAAGCACTCAGGTCAGGTCACTCAGGTTTCCGGACCTAATTTCTCTTAAATAGGCTACCATGTCTACGTTTTAGTAGATATGGCGGAGGGTGGTGCCGAGGCCATTGCTGGAAATCGTCGTCAGTGCAAACAGGGCCTCAAAACTGTTGGGTGCTGTGCTCTATGACAATTCTTTGGTACCTGGGATACGGCAGGCATTTATCCGAGATTCCAATACCCGATGCGTGTGTGGTACTGCATGGCGCTGACGACGAAAAAACAGCATGATTTTATCGTATTTACACACGAATGTTAATATGGAGTATTATGTACCAGATTATATTTTAACATTATTTTAACGCATTCATCGAATTTTCTCGATTTTACAATCATTTATCACCTGTTCAAGTTTTCCTTTTAGCTTACTTTTTGGCTTTCTCTTCTTAACAAACACGGCCGCAACATCTTTCCGAAAATGCAGTTGGTTACACGGTTTACTCATTATTTCATTTCAAATCGCTCAAGTTTTTCGCCCCCTACCGCAACAGGGTGACCTCGAATCACAGTGTGACCCATCCACACTTTTGTGTGGATGGGTCACTGCCTGAGGTGCCCTATCAAATGGCTCCGTTTTCATCGCGGGATGCGATGAGGCGGAATATGGCCATCCTCTCTTCAACCAAATAGGCATTTTCCAAGACACATCTCAAAGTTATTTTTTCCAATTCCAACGCAAGAAACCTGCAGCGTAAAGCCATTACGAAATTAATCCTCTGCCGCCCCCCCCCCCCCCATCCCCCCCTTCCCCCTCCTCCCCCGCGAATTACAACGAGGGAAAAAAAAATCGGAACGGAACAGCTGAACCACGAAACTCATGGTGGTTCATCCTAAAGGCTGCAATCCCACTGATGAGTCTGAGCCCCTTCCCGAACTACTTTCCTCCCCTCTTTTCTTTTCTTTTCCTATATCAATTTCACCTAATACCTTCTCTTCCCCTCTTCTGGTTTCCCCCCTTCCCGAGCGGAACGGCGGCCGGAATGGGGCCAATCAATGCTCACGCCATCTGGGTCCTTCGAGTCGGGAACTCGGGGAACTTTTCGTGGCTCTTTCCGAATTTTTTTTGCGTTTTCCGATGGGAAAGAAAGGCGTTGAGGAAAATCCCGGGGTTTCTTTTCCCCTTCATTATTCATGATTCGAAGTTCCTCGGATTATTTCAAATCGATTGCGCTTAATGAATGACGCACCACCTTCTTCATGGACTGAATTTCAGAAGTTTCAAATATAATGGACTTTATTCCTCGACAAATGGTGATATTTCAATAGCATTCTGGGGAAGTGGATGGATAAACGCAATTATCCTGGTGCCACACCTAGAAACAAAGGAAAACGAAACAAACCAAATAAGAATCTCGTATTTTTCGTTCGCGAGACGGCCGAGATCGAACTCACGAGTCCGGCAGGGCAGCTCATGCTATAGATGATCCATTCGTAAAAATAAGGCTGGCAGTAGTAGTACTCGGCACTACATTGCCCACGCGGGAAATACCCCTCCTGCGGACAGTGCGCCGAGGGGCCGATGGGGGGCGCGGTGGTCGCCGGGGCGGCGGTGCTGCTGGAGGCGCCGGGACTGGCCGTCGTGGCGGGAGGCGGAGTTGGTAGGATTGGGTCTCCGCCGTTCAGGACTTTATAGATGGTGGTGAGGATGGGGTTCTTTCCCAACCCGCATTTCCCGAGGAAATCGTCTGTCTCCACCGACCACACCATCCCGCCGGCGATTCCCAAGTCCAAGATCATCTGCGCCTGAATCCCCAGACACGAAACTCGTCAGAAATTTTTTTAAAGAGGCAGTTGTCTCAAACCACCATGGCAGACCTTGAGGATGATGCTCTCGATGTCGTCGTATCCAAACCACTGCCGGGAGTTGAAGGTGCAATATGGGGCTTTGATGTCGTTGTTCCAGTGCCTCTGAAAGTCTCCATACTGCTTCTGGATCTCGCAGATCTGCAACGAACTCCGATTGCTAGCAATTCTTGAATGAATAAATTCACCACAAATTTAATAATACAGGCAGCGAGTCCCTCATATCACAGGTGTCACATACTCGTCGCATGCATCTATGACGTCACGAACGAACAACCAATGACGAGCCGACGCTCGAGGCCTCATTCCTTTCTTCATTTGGAAAAGCGTTACTGTAGCCATTCGAATACCGGTACCGGTTTATCGCCTCTCACACAATAATCATTAATCCCTATAATACTAAGGGGAGATCGTGTTGTTTGTAAGCGAAGGATGTTACCTCGTTGAATCCGAGGATCCCAGGCTCCCTAGTGTAAGGACCTTGAATGCCGGCCTGAGGAGCGTCAGCGTAGAATCCATTCTGTGCCGGGTTAGACAAGGTGAATCCTCGTCCGTAGATCGGCATGCCCATCACCAATTTTGACCTCGGAGCTCCGAGGCTGATCCAGTAGTTCATGCTGAAGTTCTGCAGAAAAACATCTCTGGGAACTTCCGGAGAGCTTTGTTGCTAAATGTATGGAGATTTACTCACGGCATTGAAGTACTTGGTTTCTCCGGATTGATCGTTTGGATGAGCGTAGAGCGGAGCATTGTGGTGAGTGAATGTCTCCCAGGCTCCGTGCATGTCGTACACCATCACGCTGATGATGTCCAGTGCCCTAGATGAAATTAACATATCTTTGTGTCGTGTACCGTGAAATATATAAATATATCACTGGAAGAGATATTGTTTGCCATGGCAACGAACAGAGAAAGGAATAAAACATTTCATGCTGATATTCATAATTTATCATCTGGATTCAACAGAAAAAAATTATAATCTAGACGTGAGAAATGGACTCACTGAGCCATGCCTGGGACGTCATAGGCGGTGTCGATGGTTCCCTTCCCTGCAGAAACAGCAGCTGTGAGCAACAACCCTTGCGGAGCGAAAGCTGCTTTCAGATCTCTCAGCAGCTGCACGAAGTTCGCCTGACAGCAACAAAAAAAGGAAGGAAATGATTCCAAATTTCTTTAATGCAAGTGGCACCCTGGAAGTCAGTCGAGTGCTTTTTACCTTGTCCTCGGGAGTGCCTCCCCTGTTGGCCGGATATTCCCAGTCCATGTCCAGTCCGTCGAATCCGTGTTCCTTGAGGAGTTGCACGCAGCTCGCCACGAATGTGGCCCTCTTGGCAGGGTCTGCGGCCATCTGCGATGTGAGGCACATAGAACTCGATGGAAAAAAGGGTATGCAAAGAGGAAACTGAGACGATGTGTTCCGATTCAATAGGAACACGTGTAAAAACTATTTTCTTTTCACACGGCAATAGGAATATATTTTCGAAAATTCTGAAAAGTATCTAAAAAAATCGATGCCTAAAAAATGGATGATTTATCTGCATTTAATGATATACCTCTTTCTGTCAGGAAAATGTTTTTCAATCCCTCACGTTTAGTGTACAGCTTCTATGATCAGGGAGTATTTTTTGATGGGTTGAGGAATACCTGGGAGTATTTGACAGACCCTTCATTCCATCCTCCGACAGCCAAGATGGTCTTCAGACTTGGGTTGATGTTCTTCAGGGCATTGAATCGTCGGAAAGCAGCTGCAACATCATGTCAAAATGTTTATATCTTTAAGAGATATTATTATAATCGTCTGTGAGCCCTATGGGAGGTACTTCTACGTTCCTTATGCCTATTAAATGGAAAAGAGACGCGGTACTCAATGACATATGGCAACACCCGCCTGATGAGTAAAATTTGGTATGAATTTCTGCTGCTTTTTTTTCCAGTTAGACGACGTTTCAGGTCTCATTTTGATGCTGGAAAATATTATTTCGCCGTTGGGAATTGCTTTAATTGACATCCTGACACGTTCTATACATTTATATACGAGGTGAGCTACCTTTCCCAGAGCCCCATTCGTCGACGAGTTCGTTCCATGGATCGAGGACCTTGATCCTGTTGTCGTCGCCGAGCCCTGCGAATCCGAAGACGAGGTGGGTGCAGAGGTTCGGGTCGATGTGCTCCACGTCGAATTTCCCATCTCCGGGCCGGTACACCGCCCAGCTCCCATAGTAGCAAACGAATAGCTTTCCGCTCTTCGCTGCTCCTGCTCCAACAAAAAAATTAAGCAATTCAAAAGTTCTTACGTTTTCGGAATTATTTTCAAAGGGAATTTACCTCGCTTCTCAACCAGTCCCGCGTTGACGGCGAGGAGGGCAGAGAGGAGCAAGAATGCTAACTTCATCTTTCACTGCCGATGCTGAAACTGGAGAAAAAACGAAAACCATGAAGTTCATGAACTTCACCGGATCCGCAAAAGCCGACGGGAGAAGAGGAAAGAGGGAGCCAACCTGCAGGAAGGCGGAATGAAAAATGGGACGAACAGACGTTTGCTTTCGGCTCTTTTATGGCTCTCCTCGCCCCCCTTATCCTCCAATGCGAAAGAAAAATCCCGATAAAGCGGAATTAGAACCCATATCTATCTTGACACACCCCCACCCAGGTCCCCCCGCTTTTCCTACACGCCCACACACCTGTTCCATCGTAATATCAGCGCATGCCAATTCTCTCCCACTCCCCAGCTCCAAGATCGTAAACACTTTCCCAGACGAATCAGATTCGTCTGGCTTCTCCTCTCTTTGATCTTCCGTATTGACAGAGGGGAATTTCAAGGGAAATAGGAGAGGGGAAAAGGAAATTCTAAGCCGTGCGACATCATTCCAGTCGAGACATTCCGAAATTTATCAGACTTTTAAAACCCACAACTTTTGTGCTTTTACAACCATTATTTAAATTATCAGTAAAAGACGGTACTCATTAAATTATTTGTCCGACAAATCATCGCCGTACGTATTGGGTTTTACCCCCGATAAGAAGCAAAATGGAAGAAAACACGATGAGGACTCATTGAACTTCGTTTAACTCTTTGTCTCTCTCCTGCTCCCACCATGTGCAACACTCGAAGAATGCGAGCAGGCAAGAGAGAGCGTGGGTTCCCTCCTCTGGTTCCATGTCGTTCCAGACGAGTACAATAAATATGGCGTATAGTTCTCGGGTTGACTATTCCGCTAGATTATTTGATCCATGAATGTGTTCCTGCAATCAAATAAATAGTCGCTGCAAGTCATCTTTGATCAGAAGCGTATAAATATCCAATCCCACTCCCCTCTTTGAGTGAGTGATGAAATTTTGCCGTTATTCCATTCTGATAATGTCATCAAATTCCAAAAGAAAATTTATTTGTTTTGTTAAGGGTGTTTTAGTTCTAATAGTTAAAAATTTTTGAGCAAAGGTCCCATGCATAAGTGCTCACATATAAATGCATGAAGTGAATTTTCCCTTAAATTTTCCCTCATCCTCGGAGTTATCGGAGTGAAAGATGTATGGGAAAATGGGAAAGCCTTTCTCTTCTATTTATTTTTTGAAGAATTAATGCTTTGTGGGCGAATCAGCAGACGAATTGAAGGAATGAGACGGAAATGGAAGCAAAAGAGACCACCACGTATGCAACTTGAAAAAAAAAGCTGCAGAAGTCGAAAGAAGGAAAGGAGAGCAGAAAGAGGTCTTAAAAGCCAAGAGATAGCGGGATCCTCCTCAGGGGCACGGTCACGCTCCTGCATCCTTAGTGCAGTAAGGTCTTTCCCGGAATCTCCTCTCCTCGGTGAAGTGAGGTCTTTCCTGGAATCTCCTTCCCGAAAGAGGCTTAAGAGGAAAGTAGAAGCCGAAGTACTTGGAGACTGCTGACTGCCCCTTGCTGTTCAAGTCCTGATTACCATCGCAGCTGGACCACCTGCTTGAAAGATTTCAGACCCAAATAGCCCGTGGACAACGTACGCATAGCACTCTGGGAAGTGGAAATCGCGATGCCAGATCCTAAACAGCAGACCACTGTTCACTATTAAGAAGTTACTCTCAGATTCGTGCCAAAAAGGTCCGCTGGCTACATTCCATAAAGACCACGAAAGAGAAATAACTCTGTTTCACTGGGTAAAAACAATTGGACTTCATTTGTGATCAAGCAGATTTGTTTCATTGTGTAACACACGTCTTGCCTTTTTGACATGAATGCGTGTAAATGTATACCGATTGCTCTTTGTTCGCCCAATTGGAAATTCGCTACTGTTTAGCTTTATGTGTCAATTAAATCACAATTTTATAAAACTTTCCATATAATATCGTGTGATTTCCAGCACGAGGAGCACCGGGTGACTTTTCTCAACGTGTCGCGTGTTGCGCCCATGGCAATGTGTCGACCTATGGCCGACACTCCCGTTTTTTACATAAATTTTACATAAATTTCGACCCATTCCACCGTGCATTGCCGCTGGGAAAAGTGTCAAAACTTGGAAAGCGGGTTCCACGTGTGTTGTCAACCATCTTTGAGATCGGGTAAGAGCATTAGCAGGATCTGCTTCAAGTGTGGCTAAACAAGTTAGCATAGAAATATTTCGTGGGATGTGCACAGATACACGTATAAACAAGATACAAGTTTGGCAATGCGAAAAAAAACGACATTACTTTTGGGATGACCTCATATATTGAACTCTACCAAATCGATGAAGCCGTAGACGAATCCATGCTCGTTTGGGGAGGATCTATGCCTCTCCCCATTGCCCTTATCCAGTAAAAAAAAAAAGAAAGGGACTGATTACACAGAAATTTGCCTACTTCTCTCGTTCCCGCTGACTCTTGTAATCGAATTTCTTTACTACTCTGCTTTCTTTTCCGAAGCCGACAAACCTTGATTTCTCTGATAATCCACGTGTACTAGTAGTAATATAAAGTAGTAATAATTTTTAAATTACATTTAAAATATGCATAATAACGATGGATACATTTGCACGTCTATTTTTCTCGACATGAGTGCAAAAACTCCCGGAATTCTCCACCTGACACCTAAAAATTCTTCGGTGCGGAAGAGTACTCTTCTAATACGTCCAGGAAAAAATGAGAGCCGAATACTGAAATCGGAGCCGCCGAGCAGGAACTGCGCCATAAATAGCTTCGCCATCCGAAGTCTGCCGACTCGAATCCCTTTATGAAATTCCCCTAGTTCATCGGGAGGAAGTAGGGACGATTTCCGACGAGATCTCACACTCCGTCCCATAGAGGAAAGAAAATAACTAACTCCTAGGGGTAAGGGGGGGGGGGGTCAAAATATTACAGAGACATCTGGTAGCCTGTTAACAACACTTCCGCGAGGTGTGCTTCGCGGCAGCAGAATCGGGAATGGACTCGTTTGGGGATTCGACCCAAAGGGATCCCTCAACGCAACACACGCGTCTCGTCGAGTCGGCTACTCGGCAGTGGAGGAGTTCCTGATGCGCGCCCGCTAGGTGGAGGACCGACAGCGACATCCACATTGCGACATTCCATATCTCCAGCGACATTCCACATCTCGATGAATTTGATTCGAGCGGAGTGAAGTCCCTGGTTACACTCTACGCTCTGGAGAAGCCGAGCGGAAGCTCTCTCCGTCTGGCTGCGACGCGGCAGACGGCAGAACCGCGAATGGGACGAACCGCTTCGAGGACGGCATCCCGAGGTCGTCGATCGACCGTCAGTCGACAATGATATCAGCTGCGATCGTCGACCGCGATCCGTGATGGAGCCTGCCACACGAGATTCCCCGGGACATGCCCTTGGTGACGGAACGCACCATCGTCTGCGGCAGGGCATTTCCATACTCCGTTGGGAAATCTAATATAATAATTTAAAAAATTTGCTCCGACTAAGCGGGGAGATCAAGAAAGTCGAAACATGCTACAGAAGTATCCGTTGGGCCGACCGAGGAAAAATTTACTTTTGGAGTAAATCTCCTGTGGACAAACTTTCTCGCACATCCTCCATGTTCTTTCGCTGCAGTGAAACGGACAAATATGGACGAGTCGAATTCGGTAAAGGTATAGTTGTCTGAACGTTGACGGAATGTCGAAATGATGGAAACGAATCTCGGAGAAAGGAAAACTTCGAATGGGAGCTTCTTAAGGAAGCTAAGAATCTGTTGAACGTCACATCCGACCGGCACCGTCGCCCACAACCCAAGGAGTTTTCCAGCATCGGTCGGTGCGAGCGACGAAAACGGATGCGAATTCGTGTTTTACAGGGTGGCCCAAAAGTAGGTATACAGTTGTTTAGTTTTTTTTTATATTTATTTTATTTTTCTGTGTGTCACAGTGTTCTGGACAGGTTCGAGGAATGTTGCAGCGTTGATGGAAGACATTTAGAGCACTTACGAGATTAAACAGTGTTAAACAAATGTAAATGTAATAAACAATGTAATAAAATGCAAATAAACTATACTGTATACCTACTTTTGGGCCGCCCTGTATACATCGTTATGGTTGAAAATACCCTCGGATGGAATGAGGATTTCCGCATCGCCCGGGCAGCTCAAAGTCCTGCTCGATAAGGAGAAGGAAGAGCACTATATCAAGATAACCTCGGGAGGAAAAGAGCCGCGGAGCTTCCCCTCGTCGCCGTCCGCCCTCCGGGAGGCGCTGCAGGCCGCGAGGGGAATGATGGCGCGTTCGATGGCCGGGCAGGTGGAATGATGGCACCTGGGGTCGTTCGGGAATCAACGGTTTCGCTTGGACCCATTTTAAATAATATATATATATATATAATTTAAACTAACGTTCTGAATTAATAACTCTGGAAGCGGTTTCAACTTTATTCCGTATTCAAAAACGATGGAGACCGTGAGCCATCGACCCTTTTCCTTCTCGCTCCTGTCGCTCAAACTTCTCGTCGCATTTGCGGATTTTCGTCGCGAAACGAACGCTTTGAGATTCGAGAGCATTATATCCAATTTCCCCTCGCCGCGCCTGCAGCGAGAAACGACACGAATGTCGCTTTCTTTTCGGACGAGATCGTCGAATCTCTTCTCGCAGTCGAGCCAAGATTAGGCTTAGGTTAAGCAGCGGCTGATCCCCTCGTTGAATCCGCGCGGTAAAATATTTAAAATTTAACAGCGATCTCGTCCGTCGCTCCGGTCGGCGACTGTTGCCGGAGTTTCGATTGGGCGATTTTCATCCTTGAAGCAGCGTCGAGATAACGTCTCGTTCGGCCGGATTAGCCAGGGTGAAGCCCTGTCCGGCATTCCCAATTCGGAAAAGCCAGAATTTCCAAATAATTTAATCGCTCGACCCGTGGGTCTTGCATCACAGCTTTTGAAATATTTTAAATTAATAAAAAAAAAATAGAAATAAATATTTCTCCGGATCGATCGAGTGATGATGCCCAGTGCCCTCGATGCATTTCACTCACCCACGATGCAAACCACGAAAGCGAAACGAAACAAGATCCAATTATTTATTTAATGTTTCCCAGCAATAAAAGGTCTTCGTTCGGCCTTTCGGAACGCACGTTCCGGTCTTCAAAGGACCCTC